TTTGGGGAACCACCCACAAAGTCTACATGGTGAGAAAGCCCACTTTCCTCCTCATTAGTTGAGAAGATAGATGGCTAAGTGTGGCCAGCGAAGATCCAGGAAAGATGGACATGGCCTGAAGACATGTCAGAGATGCCATTGGGTGCACAAACTGGGCTGTCCCTACCAGGGACTGCCAGGGATGGCTCCTTAGGAGCCCTCAGCTTTTCAGCCTAGTCTGCTGTTGGATTGAATATGAATCAAATTTATTCAATCATGGACACAATAACATATTCTTCTTCATATAGGAAGCAGATGATGTTAGATGCACAATATTAAAAAGGATTCTTTTCCTCTCCTATGCTCAGAGATATTATTGGCTATTTTGTGGATTTTCTGCAGACTATCATTTATTATTTTAATATTATGGATAATCCATTCTGTTCTATTAGAACATGATCATACTTTATTATACTAAACTGTTGCTCTGTGGAATAGACTCAGCCCAAGAAGACAGGTCTACTCAGCTGTCCAACCTACCTTACCACTGACCACAGAGTCCAAGACTCTGCATTACTGTTTCCCACAGGGACACCTGAAATCCCTCATGTCCTACAGTGGATTCTCTGCCTGGAAGAAGGAACTGCTGCTTTTCCCTAAGGTGTCTGTGTGGGGAGACAAGGTGGGATTTGCAGCACGTCTGCCTCATATGTAAGTAGGAACCACAAAATGGTTTGGGTTGGAAGAGACATTACAGATCATCTACTTCTAAACCCCTTGCATTAGCAGGGGCACTTCCAACTAGACCAGGTTGCTCCAAGCCTCATCCAGTCTGCTCTTGAACACTTCCAGGGATGGGGCAGCCACAACCTCCCTGGGCAACCTCTTCCAGTACCTCACCACTCTCAAAGCAAAGAACTTCTCCCATAAACCTCATCTAAATCTCCCTTCTTCCAGTTTAAAACCATTACCCCTCACAACATTCCCTTATAAAACGTCCCTCCTATCCCTGCTGAATGCTGCAACAGAGTTTCTCATCAATGGAAAAGGGCTTTCCAGGATTCCCTTGTGTGTTCCCTCACTGAGACTGCTGATATCTCACTTTTGGCCACTGGTTGAATATTTCAAATTCCTTTCACAGATCAAAGGGAAACAGCTGTTTTCTAATACTTGCCACAACTCAGGTTTAACAATAATCATTTAGCACAGTAAAAAAATGTGTCTTTCAATATATGCAGTAGCATATCTATAGAACTACATTGATGTGTCTACAGACAAATATATTCGTACAAACAGAAATTTGATTAAGAATTTATATAGCTTCAGGCTTCAAGGAATTTTGGATCAATGCCTTTATTTTGCTTTTATAAATAAATGAACCCAATTAGATTGTACTTACAGCAAACCACGATGGGCAGGAGAATAATATTCCTGAAGTTTCACTTTCCAATTTTTACCTGTTCCGTGGGTCTAGGAAATCAGTTACTCCCTATAGGGAACTTCCTAGAATTTGTGTGACCCAATGTTTATCCTTTCCCACCCACCAATGGAAGAGAAGAATTACAGGGACACATATATGGAAACATCCTTCAAACCTTTTACAATTAGCTGTAATAAATTCAAGCATAACTAGAATAAAACGAAGCCCTGCAAACAAGCTGCATTTGAATCAAGACTGGATCTGCATCAAGTCAAGAAGTTTACCATGTAGTCTCACAAGACCCATAAATCAGGTCTCCTGAACATATGTAGTATTTTGCATTACTGTATTGGGTGTTAACTTTAATGCCTTAATATATGCACACAGTGGTCAGGTTACGGTTGCTGTGGGAACTATAATTTTCCATGTCCTGAGCAATCTGCAGCTGGAAAAATAACAGTAAGTAAAAACCTATCACACCACTGCAGTCTCTCCAGCAGGTTTTATACATTTAATTCCCCAATTTGGTATTTGAAGGAGGAAGAAATGAAAGCATGTGAAGCTGCAAACATATAGGAAAGCTGAAACAGATGTGATTTCATTTGCTTCCTTTTCAAGCACCTTGTGTGAAACCTCATGTGTCCCCAACCCAAGCAAGTGTCACTGCATGAAAAGCATCTGCTTTTGAGCATGATCATGCCTATTTCTGGGTCAGAAGCATCTCACCAAGGACATTCTATCACTCTCTTCTTTATTGTAATGCACCAAAACCAACCACCAGCATTCACATGCAAGTGACAGCTACAAGAAGAAATGATCTGCAGCTGAAGCAGCTGCCTGACCCACACCAAACTGTCACTGCTATAGTTTCCTAATGGGTAAGATTCTTAACTATTTTAAGGCAAAGGTGTTTGTCTTTGTCCTGTTCTCCCTCCAACCTCTACCTCCAACCCCACCATCACTTGCCTCTGAGTACTTTTATCTGGCATTCTGGATTTTTCCCCTCTTAAAACTCTACTTCCTCTCAGAGGAGGTTGTGTTTGGAGTTATCAACCATTTTCAGTGTGCCAAAAAAAGTGTATTGCATCCAGGCTTACTCCAGGTGCAGGGATGCACAGCAGCTATGCAGTAATTCTTAGAACTATAGAATGTGTGGGGTTGGAAGGGATCTTTAAAGGTCATTTAGTCCAATCTCCCCTGCAGTGCGAAGAGACCTTTTTGAATAGATCAGGTTGCTCAGAGACTGGTTGATCCTGACCTTGGATGTTGCCAGGGATGGGGCCTCCACCACCTCTCTGGGAAACCTCTTCACCACCCTCATAGTAAAGACCTTCTTCCTGATATCCAATCTAAATCTCCCCTACTCTAGTTTAAGGCCATTACCCCCTGTCCTATCACTCCTCGCCCTTGTAAACTGCCCTTCCCAGCTTTCCTGTAGCCCCTTCAGGCACTGAAGGGGGTTATAAGGTCTCCCAAAAGACTTCTCCTCTCCAGGCTGAACAACCCAAACTCTCTTCACCTGTTTCCATACCAGAGCTGCTCCAGCCTCTGATCATATTCGTGGTCCTTCTCTGGACTTGTTCCAACAGGTCCATGTCCCACTTGTGTTGAGGACTCCAGAACTGGACCCACTATTCCAGGAGGGATCTCACGACAGCAGAATAGAGGGGGAGAATCACCTCCCTTGACCTCTTGGCCACACTTCTTTTGATGCAGCCCAGGATGCTATTGGCCCTCTGGGTTATGAGTTCATAGTTGGCCCTCTTCATCCTATTAGCACTGGTTAATGACCACCAGTGTCTCACATCAGACCCAACAACTGTGGCATTGCAACCATGTGGTAGTCCAGGCAGGACCAGAGCTGCTCCCATACCTGCAATCCACTCCACAGAAGTTGTCTAACAAAGTTTCTTAAAAGCACAAGAAGTGATGGAATATACACTGCATTAAGACAAATCACTGCTAATTTGCACAAGATAGCCTCCCTTATCTCTGAGCTCAATCATAAAAAGCAGTTGATGTCCAGTGGATGTGACAACCTTTCAAGAATATTCTATTTGTGATCATGCACAATAACCATATAGAAAAGAAACCACCTTTTGGTGGACAAAAATAAGCTATAACATTTCTGCAAACACCTAGGTGAAAAGCAACATCTGTGAACAATCACTCCAAAGGTGGCAGTAGGAACAATTATAAGGGTAAAGGAATTAATTTGCCCTTTGACTCACAGATGCCTCAGTTTCATTGGCACTGCCACCTAAAGCCAACTAAGGAAGAAGTTCTGATGTAGAATGTAAGTGCATGGAATTTATCTAGTATTGAAGCTCTGGTCCACTGACTTGCCCTAATAGTAGGGTCTTTGGTGGTAACATTCCACTCTCTTTACCAAGAAGCATTAGTGTTACAAAATACAACTATTTCTTCTATATTAAGGATCCTCCACATTAAGGAGGATCTAGAAAACTGGGTGGTAAAACAAGGTAGAAAAACAAGGTTCACTAGCAAAGTAGAAAACCTGCTAATTGTCCCTTTAAAGAAGAGGCAGGAGTATCAAGAACATTAGAAGTAATCACTGAAATTAGACATAGAGTTCCATTTCTTGGTGGCATGATATCAGCTGCAAATAACCTGAAAGCTTTTTAGTGTGTGGGACTTGAAAGACCAAACTAATCTCTGTTGGACTCCAAATGCAGCTGCTCTCCTGGCATGAAACCTCCCACTGAAGTATGTGGAGATGTCTGACACACAGACACATACCATATATATAGTATTTTGCATTAATATTTACTTATTTTACATTAGTGTGAAAATCTAAAAACATATATACATATAGAACATATATAACACATTTTATACATATCCATAACATATATAATATATAAAACATATATATAATATATATAACATATATAGAATATATCTATGTATACATATATAACGTATATATATACATACCTTTATATTCTTAATCATGTTACATATGTGCACAAGCACACACATTTTATTTTCTACATCTATACGCACTTGCATATACATATAAAGCTAATTCTATGCACAAAGTTATAATGCACATACTCTGATTACATACAGTATTCATTGCCAAAGATCCTGATATGGGTAAAAAGAGGAAAAAAAGGCTCTATTTTAATTTCTATATGAGTTACCTACAATATATTGTAGCCAAAGAATGCAGAACACTCAGTTTTTAAACTGAGGAATTAAATTTGATCAAAACCCCTCTTCCTTCTCCAAAATTTTACTTAGAGTATGATTTCACTTAGCCTATCCAGCATCCAGGGAAGGGGCTACAGGGTTGCTCTTGGATCTGTTTCAGAGTAGGCAAAACTCCCATCAAGAATGGAAAAACAGCCCCATGAGAACAAAAGAGCAGAGAATGATTAAACAGGTCTTACATTTTTCCTGGGTCCTGTATTGTCCACGTCCAAAGATGTCACACATCTCTCTTTGAAAATCACTTCACAGGCTTCAGTGTGGGTAGTGGGGGAGCACCATGCTCTTCAGCATCATTAGTGGAGCTCAAATAGAGCCCTTTTTTAGCAATGCACTTACTGTTCAACATAGAGACACATCATCTTACCTGTTTGGAACTTCTCTGCCCAGTAGGAAGCAAAGCTTTGGATTTCTCTGCTATTTTCTGTTAAAAAACAAAGAGAGAAGGAGGAAAATGGCTGAGAAAAATCAGAGTCCAAATATATAGGGAGGGAATCGTACGACGCTGTTTCTTCTGCTCTTTAAAGAAAAGGACATGGAATCAACTTTTACTATTTAGAAAAAGGGAATATAAATGCACTGAAAAGTTTGGTCTTGCAGGAATTCAAAGTCTTCAAAGCTTCCAGAATGACAAGGTTATCAAAACTGAAACACACATTTAAGAAATGACAGCCAGGACGTGGAGAAGTAGTAATTTACTGCTCAGATCGGTTTCCTGACGTACCCGGGCATTCACCAACTGCAGTGGCTAATTTGGGCACTTCTGAATTGATGGCAGGTTTGTGGGGATTTTTTTAAAAGAAAAAAAAAAAAAAAAACAAACACCAAAACAACAACCCTGAATCACAGAATTACAGAATCTTAGGGGTTGGAAAGGACCTCGAAACATCACCCAGTCCA